TGTTTTCATTTTGTCCCAATTCGAATGAACTTTGAAAAAAAAAAATCAAAGTGCGTATTTTTTTTCAAAATGCCTTGCCACACCCCACCTTTTTGTATAATATCTGTGTTTCCCTCATAAATAAACACTGATTTATGTTCAAAAATTTTGGATCATGAATGTGAACCCCTGCTCTTTCCGCCCATTGCTTTAATTAGAAGACCAAACCGGTTTCCCAAGACTTATATACATCTGTCACGAAACCACATAATGTGCTACTGCTTTGGTTTATGGTCGTTCTCAGTTGACTTGCAAAAAGTGACCCCCTTTTTATAATGTTTATTAAATCAGGACAATTATAGCAGTGCAACTTATTTCATTCAATCCATGCACTGTAATGTTAATAGATTCAGTTTTTGTTGAAAGTTTTATGCATAAAGATATAAAGGAATTATCTTCTGAAAGGTAAGTATTAATCAATAATAAGGAAAATCTAATTTTATGAAATAAATGATATTATTTTAAATTTTGAAGCAATTTATTACAAATTAAATAACAGTCTGCTTTATAGAGCAAATTTACTCTTTTACAGTGTATAATATACATATAGACATAGTCTTCCGTTTCATAAGACTTGTCTATAACAGACGTGACCATATTTCTTGATAAATTTTCTTACAATTAATTAATTTGAATTTGGATGAAGATTTGCCTGTTTATTCTCCCTTTTGCTAAAACAGTGTATTAAAACAGGAACGTGTAAACCACAAATATTTACTGTTTAAAATACTTTTCTGTGTCTACTAAAGATCTTCTCGAGCACTCATTTGAAATACTAGTAATGTAGAAAAAGGCAATTAAAAATGCAAAACAGGCAACAATAATAGTAGGAAATGTGTAAACTATGCAACAATGGCATCAATTTTTAAAAAAAAAAAAAAAGCAATGCACACCAAAAAAAAAACAAAACAAAACAAAACAAAACAAAACAACAACAATTAAAAAAAAAAAAAAAAAAAAAAATACAGCAACTAAAATAAAGAATGCAGCTCTATTTATAAAATTTGTCATTTTTTTGTTTTAATTGTACAAATAAAATTTACAATGTTTTATCAATGAAACACAAACAATTTAGAATAGATTAGCGACTTTCATATAAAATTGGCTAGAATTGGTTAACTTTGCAATTGGCAAAATTAAAATATGACAAAAAATAATACTAAAAAAAGTATACTATTGCCACATGTTATGTACATTTGCCACATGTATTGTACCTTTGCACAGTGTTGCCACGTGCAATATAACTTTTGCAAAAATATATGTTAGTATAAAATTAGCAATTATCAACATCTTTTGTCGAGAAAACTTTTTTTTGTAAAGGAGGAAGATACTTGCAAAGAAATATTCGTATCTCATTTGCATAAATCAAGTTTATTCTTCAGATATAATTTGATAAGGAAATCTATTTTTCCTGGCAGTATTTTTAATCGGGTCAGAAAATTATATTTTTTCTTTACGAACCTTCAGTTTCTTTCTCTTATTCCGTAAAGTCAAAATGATTCTAAAAGTGTCTTTCGAATGTTATTATATAAAATTTAGGATATCCTTTTATGTAATTGTGCAATACATGTATGAAGACGATCAGTTATCATTCTCAAAAGTGTACTGAATGAATACATAAAAGAGCAGATCATGCACGAATTTCTTTTAAAAAAACATCAGAGTAGGGATCAGGCACCACGGTAGCTAGCATCCTCTGTCAACATGTGTCCTTGTCATGCTTGATTGATTTATTGAACGTTGCTTTACGTCTCAGTCGAAAAAAAAATCACTTATTTAGAGACGTCACAATATACCGATGAAGGGCATCAAATTTTGACCTTTACTTGGCACACAGGACCATTGCGCAGTGAGGGATCTTTACTGTGCCAACGCCTAACGTGACATGAGAGTTCGGTTTTTAAGGTCTCAACCGAAGGACCCGTAACTTTCACTTCAAGTGACGTGCGCATGGCGTAGGAACAGTTGCTACCCAATTTTTATCGACTTTAGGTCGATAGCGGCCGAGATTCGAACTCACGACCTCCCGATCACGGACCGGACGAATTACCGACTTAGCCACCGCGATTGAATAAACGAGAATATCTGCAGACAATTCGGTGTGGAAATATTGGCCTAACAATATGTTAAAAAGTTATCTGTCAACATTCAACTTAATGATAAATTAAATTTGCTGAGAAGGTCATTATATCAAATAAGAAATTTATTTCCGAAATATTGACTTTAAACAAAATTTTTGATATCCTTTTTTTATCAACTTATTTATATAGGTTTTGTGTTAAAGAAGAATTTAAGAAAGTTAGTGTTGAATTAGCAGTTGTAGCTATAGATTATTACTGTTCTTCTTTTCGACGATTTGGATGAATTTCCTCGATATTAAACTTTAAGGTATTTGTCTGAAATCTTTCGAAAATTTGGGTTCTCCTTCCACGCAAGACCCACCACCCCCCACCCCCGCTAATCACCTTCTTATATCAGGGCAACCAATATTTTCAGTTTGGGTTGGCACTATAAGAAATAACTTTGCAACTAAATCAATTAAAGGTTCACCAAAAGTCTACTGGAACTAAAATGGCAGAACTTTGTTAATGACCTCTCCAGCGATTTCAATGACAATCCAGTTTGATCGAATTGTGCAGGCACATCCTTGCACCGCCTTGCAAAAACTCGACTATAGTGAAGAGCAAAACAAAAACTTCTCAGATAAGATTTTCAGGGAGGGTATCACATCCATTAAGGAGTTTCGTTATATATATATTATACATGTATATCCATTTTCAATACAATCTTTTTTTTTATCCAAAGGGGTACCTAGCATCGCTACAAAAAAAATACGTATCGCTTAAGCTCAATAAGATATGATCAATAGAGTTCTAGACAAAATGTACTTCAAAGGATGAGCTCAAGGTCAAAGTCCATATACACGGAACAATAAGATTAGACAAGCAGATATTTTTAAGGGGGCCGACTATAGTTTTATTGTGTGAAAACTACAATAGCGAAACTCTTCATTTTTATACCATATATAACTTACATTAACTTCAGTGTACATGCAAAGTTTGGGGAAAATCTACCGTCCAGGTATTTTTGAGGGACCGTCTCAAAATACAGGTACATTTACTATAGGATTATATAGGAAAATGCCAATTTTTAGCACTTTAAAGCAAATTATACAAATACTACAATAGACTTTTTGTTCAAACTATAATATTTGATGAGTAATAATATATTATACAATACATGTAAGAAACACAAAATTCTACCGTCTTGTTACCAAAAGGGGCATCTCAAAATGCAAAAAATTAGCAAATTTTACTATTTTTATAGAGTATTACAAAATATGACGTACACAATGGATTCACATGAAAACATGATAAAAATATTGGAGATATCCTCGAATTTCTATGTTTTGAATTTCAAGAGCGTATGCTTACTACTTTTTCCTTAATGATATTTTTATTACCACTTTCTTTAAGAGCTACAGATTATCATAACGTCAAAAACACACTGTGCACAACGACGTCAACCTACTTATCAATGGTAAATTCGTTTAAAAAATCAGTTCTATCAAATTGTAATTGCATTTTTATACCTATAATTTCTTAATTTTGTTTAATTTTAATAATAAGCAAAAAAAGTTGCATTAAAACAGTAAATACGCTTCATTTTACTATGATGCGCGAAATATTGCGCAATGGAATCTATACTCGGCCCCCTTAAGAGGCATTGTGCCGAATTTTAAATCTTTCATTTTTCTTGCATATTTTTAGTTAGGCAGGCAGACGAATAAAAGTTATGAAAATATCTTTGTATCTCTTAATTATAAATAAGAAGAACTGTTAAAGACAGAGAGAGAGAGAAAAAAGTAAACATTCTCTGGTATTTAAAAAAATGTTTTCATTTTCTACTTTTCTTTTTTTTTTCAACTGTACATCCAATTAAGTGAACATACATGGATAATCAATCTTAAAAATAGTAATATTTTTAGTAAATTATAACATACGATGTATAAAATTTGACAATTCCAGAATAAAGATATAAGGATATATTTCTTATTGTAAACTTTAAAATATTTATCGATCTCTCGATCAGCTAATTAACCGTATGTAAAATCAGAACAATGAAAATCTTAATTACGCCTACATAAAGCGGGCGTGAAAAGTAGTTACCAGCTTCAAAAAAAATATGCTCGACTTTAGACAGGTCTTTTGTATTGCCAAGCATAGCATTGCTTGATTCATGACCGTGAACCTGTTTGCACTAGTGTTTGTGAAGTGTCTGTTGAAGAACTAGTCCGTAACATATTTTGAATAATTAACATTACGTCAACTGTTACGATGTTCTACAGACAATAAACAAAGCATGACGACCGAAATAAAACAATAAGGTTTTATTAAGGGTCGTGGTTTAATGATGTCAAAAAACTTACCGACGCATCTAATCTAAAATCTAGCCCCAAAAATGAATATGTAAAATAAAAAAAAAAATATTTGTAAATATATCTTGTTCAGCAAGAATTGGGATCCTATTCAAGAAAAATATAAGGAAAATAATATTCCCGCTTCGTGTTCTTAGTGTCATATTTAACTTTCTGAAGTTAGAAAACTTAAAACTCTTTAGTTAATCAAAATAATGTTACTATGTCACAATATTTACACAATCCATCTCAATTTATGAACATTAATGTGAATTAAAAAGGCATAAGGGCATATTTTGAGAAAAATAAGGCAAATGAGTGCCAAATTTTATGTTCAGCGTAGTGACTATATTCTCCCACCTTTCTCCTAACTTAAGAACGTATTTATATCTTTAACAGTCAGTCTTTGAAATTAAGCATTTTATGAATCACAAGAATGCTAATTTTAATAAAATAACTATTTCTAGATTTATTATCATTAAATTAACCTCAGAACAAGCCACATTTCGAATAAAAAGACAAATTATGAAACGAATGAATAAATTATCCTGTAACACAAATTTACTTTTTTGCAGAATAGAACACAACTGACAAAAATATTAATTATAGCCTAAAACAGTGCAGAAAGCATGGAGAACGAGTGGACATTAGCAGGAAATGAAACTCATTTTTCACTAATTGTGGAAACAGAGGAAGGGTTAAGCATACAAGACAGGGTGTTAATCGGAGCAGTGGCGACATTAGTTGTATTGGTAGTGCTTGCCCTTGTTCTTCGACTTCTGAAACAGCCGTGCAGGGACCGTGTAAACCACAGCGAAGAGGAGAAGAGGGATTATGATAAATATTCAACAAAGTAAGTCATTCTTATTGAAAATCAAACATCAAAGGGGGGAGAAATCCCGCGTAGAAAAAATGTTAATCAATTAACACGATCGTGAGACTTGTTCCATATAAATTGTAAATCCCAATTTGGTTATAGAAACATTACATATTAAGACACAACTGAAATAATTTTTGTGGTAGATTTTTCATGCATTTTTTGCCATTTATCATGAAAGCAGAAAAGTCAAATTTCTCTCCCTTTTTAAAGTTAAACTAAAATTTTATTTGACATCCTAAAAATTTATCCTTTTTGACTAGTTACACTTCTAAGCAAATTGATAGCATAAGACAACCTTGCCTTCATTAATAACAGCAATAGAAAACTATTGCCTTCTCCATTTTGAGAAGACAAACCAGTTTAATTTTTACCAGTTGTAAGGTAGAAAGAACGTTAACATTGAAAGTTTCAGATTTTTAAAATGTAAATTCTTTTGCTTTATTCAATTATGGTGCTTTAGTTGGGAAATAATCTTCAGATTGTTAATATATTTCTTATCGAGATAAAGTTTGAAAACAGTCTTAAAGTTTACGGATCGGGAATCGTTAATTTTTTTAGCCGGGCTTGCCGGCTTATGTGATCCTGTTCAAGGCAGGATGTTAACCCAATAGTCGCCATTTTAAAGTTACGAGCAAAAATATAGTTCTTACTCTCAACCGCTTTTGAGATAATACAAACGCTAAATAAAGCAACAAAAATAAAACGAAGTTTTATCTATATAAAATAAACATTAGTAGTGATGACTTTGAAAACTTCATAAGTCAAAGAACATAGTTCATTAGCGTAAGGATTTTTGATAATCAGTGTTACCGTAGTTCTCTACACATACGAGGTAAAGCAGGAGAGGGAACCAGACTGGCCTGTTTGTTTACATTCAGCTGCGGTACCAGATTAATTCTGATTCTGACAAAATCGGACCGTGGTATTAGGATTGAAAAACTCGCTGTCAGTGTCTTATCATTTATATTGATAGTTTTAAAATATTTTTTTCATCAGAACATAAACGTAATTCATGTAAGAAATCCATTCTACTCTGTAAATGAGCCCGGCTTTCTGAACTTCTGAGTACTTTGATTTTAAACTTAAGTTCGGGAAACTTTTTTTATACAATTACAGAGTTACTCTACATGTTAAGAAACATACAAAAACACATTTATATATATATCAAAGTAAAATGCCAATCCATTTTATAACCTTCAAGACTTGTATGTACTTTAATTTTCTTTTATGAATGAGCTTGAAATAAGGGAAGTTAATAGATGTTTACTAAATGACACTAAGGAATTACAATTGATGTCGCGTGCCGAACCTTGAAGTTAATGGTAGAATGGTTTTGTTGATAACAAACATACGTTGTGCATGTTATAGCCTTAGTATAGTTTTTGTTATGACACGTTATTTATAAAATGTCATAATTTGTTAATACAATTGGCTTATGTGTCGAAACAACAACTTATAATTAGAATTCGTATGACATAACTTCTGAGTTCATTGTTTAGTCAAAAAATATCATGAATATGCAGGGTTTCAAAATATACACGAAACATAAAAAAAATTATGTATTACATAGCGCTCATGTATTTCTTGCATTTTTTTTTGTATTACTTGAACGAACAATTTAAATCAGGCATTCTTATCCGATTTTGTTTTTCTTAATATTTGCATTTTGCAATGCAATAAGTTGAACTAAGAAAATATGGAATTTATAAGAAATGTGCGTGAGAAACCAAAAAAAAAATCTTTTAGGGAAAATTGAATGTCTATTTATGCAATGCATATATTTGTAACGGCTGGTGTGAGCGGTTAACAGCTGATGTTAACTTCTTCCAGGCACCTGATCCCATCTGTGGAATTTCCCGGGGTTAATATTTCGTGCCCTCTTTACGCATTTCTATCGTTCATATATCCTCTTAAAGATCTATCACGTTTCTTTACCATTTGCTTTTCACTCAGAAATCTTTTAATTCTATTTTCAGTTCCAGCTTAGAAGATACTTCATCCGATGATTCCTGTAGAACTTCCTCTTCCGGTTTTTCGGACTCCTCGGGAAGGAATAGTCAAGTCACACAGCTTTCTTATTGCTCTTCGGAATTTTCATTAAAATCCGACGATAGACTAATATCTTTATCTTCATCTTTACCAGATCTTACAGGAAAAAATTCAAAGTGAGTAAAAACTTCATGTTTAGTAAGGAATCAAGGATTTGGTAGTAAATGAGATCCCCATCTTTAGTAAAGTAAAATTATTACTACTTTCAGTGAAAAAATGAAAAAAAATTGTAAAACCCAAACATTTTAAATGTGTAACTATATTTGGTAACTTAAAATTTTCATATCATCTAGCAGAGGGGTTACTTGTACATTTTATCAACAGTGGATTTTACTTTCTTCAAAGTCATTCATCACAGTGCCTTTAGTTTTAGAACTTTTCTCAAAAATTTTTCAAGGAAATAGTGTTTATCTAAATATTGTTTTGTTTGAATAGATTCAATCGAAGTTATTTAGAATAATAGAGTTATAATGCAAATTTTGACCATCTGCAAATCGTCTTTGAAAAAACAGTTATTTTCATTTTAGGTCTATCAGTATTTCGTCGCCATCAGTTTTTACCCTCAACACTGAACTTATGACGAAGCTTTCGAGTAATTCTGATCAGTAAGTTAAGATTATATTTGAAGTTACTTTATATACATAGAGAATAATACATACCCTTTTCCATATCACATCCTGTATCAGCCCGAGACACCAATATCAGCCAGAGGGCCGAAGGCCCGAGGGCTGATATTGGTCGAGGGCTGATACAGGATGTGATATGGAAAAGGGTATGTTTTATTATATTTATTACATACTTAGTAATAAAATACAGTTGAGAAGAAAATAAGTAAATAATCATGCATGGACTTCTTACATACATGTACATAGTCTAATGTCTCATAAGATTTGGGTTTGTTTCTATTTCTATTTCAATGCACTTGATCCGTAATTTGAAAATATTCTATAGTATTACATGTATTTGTAAATTAAGATTAACCTTATTTTCAAAAAGTTAAAATTAAGAGAATATGAACCCACCAAAAATTGTGTATGAGTACAAGTGCTGTTATTGTGGTTAATTTACTAAGGGTGTGATATTGACGTCACAATAGCCGTATCAGCCCTGCAGGGCTGATATGGATTTGCAGGGCTGATATGGATATCAGCCCCGCAAATCCATATCAGCCCTGCAGGGTTGATACGGCTATTGTGACGTCAGCCATATCGCATATGCAAAAAATCTGTATTTATTACTAAGTGTGTAATAAATGCATGTATTTCAAAAACCACGAGGGCAATATAGTTAAACATATCTATAATAATTTTTATGCCTTCCTCTTTCATTATGACAAACAGAAAGTTCCACTTTGTAAATGTTAATTTATCCTGCTTAAAAGTAGCACAAAAGACAAAAGTTGTACAATTGTGATGAGAAAAGAAAAATATGGTCTTTTAAATCTCTTTCACCTAAATATATGACATATAAGCAAATATACATTGAATATTTCATCAATTCAGAAACCAGAGAAGAATCCTACCTTTATATTTTCACTGAGTTTCAGTACCATACACCTGTGCATTCTGCTTCAATAAGACAGAGTATATATTATTGTTACTAATATTACAGAATTAAAACCAATATAAATGGTACGGGGAGAGCAACAAAATCTGTTTGTAGCATGAAGTCCGAGGAGCATCTAGACAACTCATTGTCAAATTCTTTCTTGTAAGTAACACACGCCAAAAAGTTTTATGTTAATTTCTCTAACCAAATTCTGCTTGTCAACTTCACTTTATACATACATTTTTATTACTTTATCCGTTATGTTTATTGGATGACTTATTGTTTATAATCGATATTTTTTAGGTCTTTAGCATCATCTCAATTATTAGATACACATTCTCGGAACTCTAAGAACACAACGGTGGACCATGCTTACGGAAAATATTTACCAAAGTTCTATAAGAAAACAGATTTAACAGAAGATGTTCAAAAACAGTCTCAGTATTAGATGGGCAATTTCTGTTATTATATTACTTCAAATAAATGTATGTTATAGATACATGTATATTTGAAGATTGACTGAAAACACATATAAAAGACCGCGGGCGGTTATGCTGTACATATATGATATACATAATTTGTGCTTTCATTAACAAATTTAAACGAAAAATCTGTGTGAACATCAATAGAACTATAATATATACGTCTTAGTATGTACTTTCAAATGTATAATTTTATTTCACTTTTATATTCTCAATGCAAAATGTACATATATAATAAAAGCTTTAAAATTGCGGTAAAAGGACTTTCTTTTATGAACATTTGATTTTTGTACAGTAAAAATTGTTATGAAAATCGTCTTACAAAGTATTCCAAATAAATACTAAACACCTGGTTACGTTTTATTTCAGATATTATGTCTTTTTCCTTATTCAGTGAAAATCATTTTAGGAGCAAAAAAAACCAGTTTTAAAATACTAGTTTATTAAAATACTAGGTTATTGCTCATTCAAATGGCGAAAGGGTTTTAACATTGTTAGAATATATATGAAAACATTGAAAAGGTCAATTTATTAGTGTTCCATGATATAGAGTATATGGCGGGATAGTCCGAAATTTCCAGTGTTTTCTATGGTTTTTGCATTTTACGTGCCAGGAAAACGTTAGAACCGGTGTCAATATCAAAACTTGAAATTTCGCCATCTCTAACCGTAGTTGTTTGATATTTGCAAACCAAGCAAAATGCCGAAATCAGAATTTACTAATAGCACAATGCTTCTACTACTCACCAGTGTCGATTGTTGATTGATTGTATACTGTTTAACGTCCCTCTCCAGAATATTTCACTGATATGGAGACGTCACCATTGCCGGTGAAGGGCTGCAAATTTGGGCCTATGCTCGGCACTTATGGCCTTTGAGCAGGGAGGGTTCTTTATCGTGCCACACCTGCTGTGACACAGGGCCTCGGTTTATACGGTCTCATCCGAAGGACCGCCCCATTTAGTCGCCTTTTACGACAAGCAAGGGGGTACGGAGGTACTGAGGACCTATTCTAACCCGGATCCCCACGGGGCACCAATGTCGATGAAAAGAAAATATCACTTCTCATTCCTTCCAGGACTTGAAAATTTTTAAATACTGGACATGAATACAAATCTTGACAGTCTGATAATTTTTTCTCAAAAGATTGACAATAAATATTTTAAACAAGAACCATAAAAACGATAGTGGCGGGAATGATCGGTCGACAGAGAATGCTTACTCCTAAATGACACCCGATCCCTCCTCTGATGTTGATAGAGGTCGTATTTGCTCTGCTTCGAGCTTGTATCGTTTAAATAATTTTTTGGGCATAATAACTGTTCCATATCTTTATGTTTCATATTAAGAGAAATAAAAATTGTCTGAAGAATATTTGATCAAAGTTAAATCACATTGTTGTGCCCGAATTTGCAGCAAAAGATTTATTTAAGGTTTCAATAACATTGCACCTGAGGGTTGTTAACTGAGCCTCCGAAAAACTTTTTTCTATCCACATGCTTTAATTCCACTGTGCTTTCTGCCAACATCAACAGTAAATTGAAAAGTGTACCCTGAAGTTTTGTCATTAAACTTCTTGGTACATGTATCGGATTGGTCAAGTCCACTCTTGGTCCATTTGTAATTTCGGCATAAAGAATGAGTAGTTAGCTAGGTTTAAAGAATATAAGTCATAACATTCGAACATGGGGTCTTGTTTTGCGTCTGACAAAATATCACCAGCAATCGGTATCACTCAGTTGATTAGGGCAAAATTCAATCTCTACTCAGTACTAAGGATCATTGAAAAGTGAGGGACATTTTCATGTCATTTACTACTACGACAAGGGACTTCGGTTTACATGTATATGATCTCAACGTCCGAAAGTTGGATTCGAACGCACGACCTAAGGATCGATTCCGTAAACTGAGAGTTTACAAGGAATACTACAACCATTAAAATAATGTGATCGAAGTTGTAAATAACTGAACCACTGGTGCAGATTTTCATTTACATCACTGTTAGGTAGATTCAAAGAGATGTGACAGGCAGGAGCAACATAAGTCGGTTCTTACGCTCCAGGCTATAATTAACATTTCTCATAAAATGAAGAACACTCTATTCTTTGAAAACAAGAGAGTTTTCATTCTTTGATATATCATGTAGTTGAGAAATTTGCCTCTATATCATATATTATAGAGAAGAAATAAAGATTTATATTGTCTGAATCTTAGTAAAATGATTCTAGCACTTCTAACACACGAAAAAGGGTAAAATATATTAAGAAAACACGTTTGCATGTATTCATCTCAAATAAGTGAGAAGTAGGGACGTCTGTTCATCAATACGTCATTATTTTTGCACAAACGTTTGCTCTTTGTACAAATTTTTGCTTAGAATAAAGTAGATCTATATATCAGGAAGGCCACTTAATAGTTGTACCCGTTACTAGTGTACATCTATATACATGTAGTTAAAACAGACTATATTACTCACCACGAGTCCGGCTATTCGATCATTTTTATAAAAGCTTATCATGTAGACCTCTTTAGTCTTTGTTTTGAAATACAACACCATGAACAAGGTAGTTTCCTTAATTTTAAATGTTTTAAAGTTCAAGTAAATATGCAAAGAAAACTTTTATTTAAAAAAATTAGAGGACAGTATGTATAAGGTTTGTTTTTTCATTTAAAACTTCCTGCAAGTTCCATTTATATGTTTGATTAATTTCCGTGTAAGTTTTCGTTCAAATCGAGAAAAAAACTATTTAAAATCAACAGGTTTAGTTTTAAAGATTTTCATTTAAACACGAAGATTCATGACTTGTTTAAATATATCCCTCCTTATGTTCCTATTCTTTTGCCCGTAGGCAACACACATTTCACTATTCCATATATGTTTCAGTTCTGACATGTGTAATAAAATATGTTCAAATCAAAGTATTTCTGCACAGTACAAAGTGTTTCATTAATGAATGGTAAAAAAATCCGTCTGCAAAAATCCTTAGGTATAGGAAAAATATTAAAATGTGTTAGGCATTTTAATTAAATATGGGGCAAGGCTTGATCCAAACCTGAACAAATATTTTAAATATTTTAAATTAAAGTGATTATTTCACTTTGCATTGATACCTCAAAATTTTCGATTGCATCAATTAAAGGTATGTATTTCTGAACTCCTAGTTTAGCATTTTAGTCATCACGTCTGATATTGCAATCATGGGCCACCATATTTAAAACTTTAAAAAATATGGTCATACAGAAAAATCGGTGCAGCATGGATACTTGCTATAAAATACATGTAGTTTTACTACTCTTTGGAATAACTGATATCTATGGATACGGTATGTAGAATTAAAAGCTTAGATTAAAAATTGCACTTAAATATTAATGTATAATTATTCAATTATCTGAAATAATCAAGGCGTTTTAAAGGTCTTTAAATTTCTTTTCTACTTCGCATAGTTGACATACTGTACAGCAAAATCATATCCTCAGTGGAGGTATTTTAAAAATATTCAGGACTACAATGTGCGCACAAAGCGAGGTAATAGTTTTTGAGAGGTGTGAATTCTTGATTAAGGTGCTTCAAACCTATATTTTACAAGCAGAAACTAGTGCTACATCTAAAGGGAACCGTTACAATTGTATGTTCCCAAACCGCTGCATTTCCTGAATGACGTCAGTTTTCACAGGCATGATTGAATAAGGCGATACCATTTTTTATGAACAAACACGATGTTATTTTCAAAAAATAGTTTACAAACTATCGCTGGTAAATGTATTTTCTTACATGTATGAATGTTAGACTTTGGAGATGAGTGCTGATTTTAATCTGCATTTTCTATGAAAACACGGAATTAATATAATGAAGAATAGATAAAAAAAAACAGTATTCAAGCTCATAATATAATTTACAAGCAATCATATTAACTTCTAACATGCGACAATACATTCTAATCAAGTCTCACTTTAACAGTTGACAATTAATAATTAGATGAAAAAGAATTCAATATGTTTATTAAAGTAAACATTCGCCTATTCATTTTGACATATGAAAATACTACTTTTATTTCCAAAAATACACTGAAAAAGGATATACAGGCACATAAAAGGGGGAGAAGGGATGCCCCCACCTTTTCCTATTAAAATGCACCTTGAAAGGCTGGTTCCCAATTTTTTTTCAATATTGACACATAAGGGTAACATAGAGATATATGAAAGAAAATAGTCTTTTAAGTTAGCATGCATTGTACCTCCCCTGAGGATTTTCGAGTTTGGACAGGTTTTGACATTTTTTTTACCCCCAACCCCTGCCTGTTTTTCAAAAACGATGTAACGTCACTTGGATGTGATGTAATCGGGATTGCTGGCAATATCTATTATACATTTACAAGTGGCCTCCTAGTTAGTGATAATTGACTGATTATCAACACATTGAACCAAGATCTAGTGGATTTAATAGTTATACATTTATACACCAAGCAGCTTATTTACAACTGTTTACTCTTTATTGAAAAAAGTATCTTCAATTGGGATAAAACCATGTTTAAGAAATTGATTTTAGGTCCCATGAGTAAACTCAGGTGACCTATTGCTCTCTGTTTTCGTCCGTCGTCATGCGTTGTGCGTCGTGTGGTAACATTTTAACATTTTTAGCTTCTTCTCTGCAATTGCTTAACCAATTACAACCAATTTTGGCATAAAGCGTCCATGGGTGAAGGGGAAAACAATTGTGAAATTTATGGTCTCTGCTCCCCTTAGGGCTTTAGGGTTGAGGCCAAACCACTAAAATTAATACAATCTAAAAAAAATTCTCCTCTTTACTCTTGGACATCAAGCAGTCAAACTGCATGATTGTAATCAGTATTGAGTCCTATAGTAAAATTGTGAACTTTATGGCTCCAGGGACAGGGGTTCTCTCTCTGGGGAGGGGCTGAATAGAGAAATGCATTGTTTCTTTGAAAATCTCCTCTGCTCCTGGCTATATAACTACTAACTTGCTAAGTACCTAGTTATGAAGAGCAAAAATGTTTCTTCCAAAATTATGAATTTCATGGTCCCTTTGTTGGGGGTTCTTGTGTTAGGGAAGGGCTCTATTAATTACAAATGAATATAGTGAAAATGAATTAATTCTTTTAAATCTTCTCTGCCCCTGGGTATTTATCAAACTAACCAAGTACATAGTAATGATGAGCAAGAATATCTCTTCCAAAATTATGAATTTCATGGCCCTTGGGTCATGGGTGCAGGTGTTAGGGCGGGGCTCTAATGAGTATATTGTAAAAATGCATGAATTCTTTGTAATCTTTTTCCTCTGCTCCTAGTTATTGCAGCCCGGAGGACCGGGCTGCTCTATACATATAAGTTTAAGTGTTGGTGTATGGGGATTGGGATGGGAGTAGTTATTTAGAATTGAAGGTTTTCTCAACATTGAAAAGATTGTTAATCAAATGTTCTTTACGTTTAAAAATTACGAGATATATAATATATTTACTTCCATAAAGTGAATCTGTAAAAATATATGTTTTTCATATTTAATATATCAAGTTGCTTATCATTTACTATCGAAAAAATGACAGGTCCCTTTTTTTTTAGAACATCGAGTTTTACTTCTCGGATAAAAACGTACTCTGAACAGTTCGTATTCTATATTCTAAAATTGAAAATTAATACATTTTTAAATATAGGTGATGCGTGTGTTTAACTTTAATTTATATTTTATACAGCCAACATTTACTTGAGGAATTGATGAAGTTTAAAATGGTATCTTTTTTTATTTACTTTTATCCGACTACAAGTTTTCAAAATATTCGAGACTATCGTCTCCATCAATTAGACGCATGCCTTTTCACACACATCGAAGCGGTTTGATGATCAAGACTCATTTTCATTTTTTACTTTATATATTTCCCGGGCGACAATTGATGGTAACGTCAATGTTTTCTTGTTATGTCAATGATCTAAGTATATGAAAGGTGCCTCTTCCAAATTGGGTAATTGCAGGAGTCCTGGGTCAGCTGGGATACTAGGGCGTTTTCAGAGTCTGAAAATAAATTATTGCTTTGAAATCTGCTCGTTGGTATTAATCAACCATTGATGATGAAATAAATATAAATGATAAAATTTCCAAAATTTTGAAATATGTGGCCCCCAGGGTCAGTGTTTCCTGAAGGGCGGAGTGCACAATGGATAGTAAAGCGGAAATGTATTTCGTCTTTGTTATTCTGATCTACCTTTGGGTATTAAATAACCAAAGTACGCATGCTAAGTGTATACTTATGATAAGCAATTGTGCCTCTTTCAAACTTGTGATTTTCATGGCCTCTGGTTTAAAACAGGAACCATATTCAATTATTGGAAAGTTGTTACATGATACTCAGGTGATCTATAATGCCCGTGGGCCTCTTGTTTTAATCAAGAGATTGAAAAGTAATTTAACTGTCTTGATAATACATCATAAGTGCTTTCATTTCTTGAAGTTATTCTGAGAAAAAGACAACATTAAACTACACCCAACATCGATCTCCAAAAAGGTTTTGACAGGTAACCGAATTGTAGAAAAAATGTCATTTATTTTAATTTTCCGTTTTCTAGCTATGGAATTAGATGTAATAAATATTTTACTTTACAGCAACATATTAACTGTCGAAGGAAACTTGTTATCCTCACTCCACCATTTAGCAAATCAACTAAGAAGCAGTTGACCATTGCTTAAATTTTGTTTGAAAACAAACTATTTTATGCTTGTAAATATAGAAGACTGGCGTTGGTGATGTGGATATTTAAACAAAAATCATAATGTATAAAATTTCCCAAGTATATCCCAGTGTTTTGTTTGCTTATCGTTTTAAATTTAGATCTTTTTAGTTAAATGTATGATGTTTTAGCTTTAATTAAATGTAATCTCTCTTTTTTGAAGAAAATCTATCAAAAGGAAAAACTGTTTCAATTTCGTCCAAAGAATATTCGTGTCGAAATTGTGATCCAAAATATGCAGTTGATGATGTGAGAGAAACTTGTGTAAGAACTGATGCAGTAGGTAGATCATCGCCAACCCAAAGAATATGGTTGACAGTAGATCTTGGTGGAAATTTCAGCATTTACAGAATCAGTATACTATATCATGAATATGGAGAAGCATACGGTAAAATTTATTGCTTACCCGTAGAGCAATTTTTATAGGTTATCAATTTTAAACATATGTTGGATCGAAAAAAAAAATAGTTATACATGCACATTTAATGCAACTATGGACATCCATGTTTATACAAGGGACGTTTATGTAGTGCATATGAAGATGACGTAAAGAGAGTTGCGTTATTTCAAATAACTTAATTTGTTATAAAATTTTGGATCTTCAGAATATACCGTGTTGTATACACATCTTATTATTTAATCATGCATGGCCAAAAATAAATTAGTAACTTTTAAGTTACTTTTTTTCTAAATAAAAAGTTACTGCTAGAATTTACAACTTCATATATTTTAGAAAATTAATTCAATGGCTCTAACTTTTTTCCCTCATCTTATCATCTCGAGTCATCGTATGGTACTCTGTGGGATGTTAATGCTGTTAGATACCTGAAAGAGGAGCATTTTCTTATGCAAATTATGCACAATAATCATGTTGAAGATATAAAAGTAAAAAAAAAATATGTTTAGCATGTCATTTTATATTAAGTTTGTTTATTGTAAACATAAGAATTACTTGAAAAACAAATGCCCAACAAACAAAAACGACATTATTCTTATGTAATAAATAATGAATTAATTACTACAGATGATATTACCAAAACTCCTACAAGCATACGCATATCTTGAACTCTAATTGTGAAGCCATTTAAACCTTCGTCTTCTTCTTTTTCTTCTTCTTCTTGTATGTTTGCCTTCTACATGTACATATCAATTAAAGGATGACAATCGATTACTGAAAAGTCCATGTCACCTGCTGAAACACGTTCTTATTATGACTTAGTGTAAAAAAAATCAACTGCAATTTAAAATTAAGGTCAGACGATACAAACAAATTTTATCTTCGGAGGAGACTTAATATCATGTCACAAGTTTAGAAAAGTGGATAATTCTTAGAATTTTTTCTCCTAAGAATTGGAAAATGAAATAGACTTGGAAAATATCAGTAATATTTCAATAAAATTATAAAAATGAATAAAACACACTCAGTAAAGGTTTACAGATGAAAATAAATTTCAGAATATGTAAGCTTGGTGCTAAAAGTGTAATATGAACTTTAGAAAAATATACCAAGCCAGGTGAATTTTATGAGGAAAAGCAAAATGGTAAAAATCAGCCCATATGATACAGGGTGATTTATACCATTTTGCTTTTCCTCATAAAATTCACCAGGCTTGGTATATATTTTTTAATGTTTATATTACATTTTTAGCACCAAGCTAACATATGAAATTTGTTTTCACCTGTAAACCTTTACTGAGTGTGATTTGTCAATATGTGTTTTTTTTTATTGAAATATTAGTAATATTTTACAAGTTTATTTTATTTTTCAGTTCTTAGGAGAAAAAACTCTAAGATTTATACACTTTTCTTAACTTGTGACATGATACTTAGTCTCCTCCAAACAAAAAAGTTGTTTGTATCATCTGTACTTAAATGATATATAGAGGGAAAAGTGGCTTACATGATGTTCATGTGCTTCTCTATTTATTTGAAAATTATACAAAAATCAGGTGAAAATAAATAATAAAATAACAATACGCAAGTTTCAAGATTATCTCCCATTTGGAGCGCGTTTTTGTTAGGAGGGTGATTTTGATTTTGCGTAAACAGGCAGGTGGGACAGTTATCTATATATTGGATGAATACATCAAAGATATACCATTATTTCTGATTGTCGGGATGCACTCTTCAGCTCGAAAAATTGTAAAATTAAAGTATTGGCGTCATTTATTTCTACAAAAAAGGAACGAAATAGAAAAGAAAAATTGGGGAAAAAATGAAGATTGAAACAATTAAATAAAATATCAGTGGATAAGAAAGTCTCAAACGAAGGAAGAGATATTAATCTCTAATTAAAACACACGCATCTGATCATTGTATGAAGGCATTCTGAATGACTCTTTCGCTTAGACTTCAAAGAGTCCCAAATTTTTTTTTTTTTATATCTGTATGTTTAATTTTTTTAAACACTTTTATGTGGATTTATCATTGCACGGTTTTTATGCTTTCTACTCTTCCTGCAAATTCATATCAAAGTTATGTCAAAAGCTCATAAAGTTTTTTTTTTTAAATTTCATGTGTCTTGCATTGTTTTTTTATTTCTGTTTCAAGTAAAGTTTTTATACGAATTCCATGCATGTACATTTGATATAAAATTTATGCAGATCACTTGTCCATGTCATTGTCCTTGCACTTGTGAAACTCAATTTCCAACGCAAATTCGCACATTCATGTATTAGGTACTTGTTTATGTACCATATGTTTTGTGAAAATTCTAAAAAATATTTTTCAAAAAAGCTGTCATTCATGTACAATTCGAACTTCATTATTCATTATTTATTACGACAGATGTTGATAACAAATTGTCAACCATGTTCACTCCGATTTTTCACAGTAAGTAGCTTTATCAATCCAAAATCACCACAATCTTTAAACCCTGAATAAAGATACACGGTAACTATTTATAAAGAGACTATTATGCTAACTGAATGAAAATATATAAGAATGAATATTTTAGAGATGAGACAAAGAGGTCGATTTGCTGGATTTTCTCTTTATATCTCCTATTCACCTAACAAAGAAGACGGTGTTCTCTGTTACAAGAACTCACTTCCAATACCTCCCTTGGAGTTTAATACAACCTGTATAGGATATGGTCGTTACGTCATCTATTACAACGAAAGGCTGGATGGAGTTACGTACCCTGAAGGATACAACAATCCGATATACACACAGTTATGTGAAGTCAAAGTAGAAGGTTTGAATTATTTGTTATGCTATTAAATTTGCCATTAAATAACTGTTGGAAATATCCATATATTTCATTTAACTAAGGACAAGATAAGCTAAATCCCTTTTTATGCCCTCATTGGTGTTGTCTCCAAAACCGCTGCAATAGTTCATCGTAACATACCCAATGTCGTACTTCTTGCAAATAGAAACAAATTTTCGAATTCGTTTTAACTACTTTAACAGATTTGTTAATTACAGATTAAATTCATTATATTAGTAATTATTGTGGACAGAAGACTTCTATAGGCCCTTATTGTTTTAATTCGTAATAACAAAATTAAGAATTCGTTTAAACTAATTTGATTTGTTATAACGAATTTTAGAATTTGTTTGAACGAATTTTATTCGTTATAAGAAATTTTTGATTTCGTTATAACGAATTCAATAAATTTGTTATAACATTCAAATTAAAATTGTTATAATGAATTTAAAGAAATTGTTATAACGAAATAAAGTCGTTAAATCAAATTCGACAATTCAAAATGATGAATTCCAGAATTTTTTTTTAGTTTTAAATGGGCTTCCGTAATTTTGAAATATTCAGTAAAGTAAACATTAAGTACATGTTATGTATATGACTATATATATACACCTTTCTAAGAGCTATTATTATCATTATGACTCTTTTTTTGGTATTCTACACAAAAATCTTTAATTAAATATGTGGCCAATTAGACTGACTTTTCTTTCTGCTTTCAATAATGATTTATACCCGTCCACACCCCCCCCCCCCTTAAAAATAGACAAAAAAATTACACACACAAATAAATAAAACAATTGTAAGTAAACACTGTTGCAATTAAATGTATATTCCGTTGTTATTTTGCTCTTTAAATGTAACATAATTTTCGTTAATTATTACAAAAATTAATCTGTTATTTCAATTTTTTCCCAAGGGTGTGCACAGGCAGGAGTATACGGAGTTAACTGTTCATTACTATGTCCAAAAACTTGTTATGAAAACAAATGTAATATTGTGAATGGAACATGTCTGAGTTGTGGTCAAGGGTGGACAGGAGACAAGTGTACAGACAGTAAGATTATAAAGTCCAGTACTAGTGGATATCATTTTTCTTTGGTATTACAAAAAATATTTTTTTTTCTTATAATGTATTCGCTATTTATTTTATTCGATTCTTTTGGTATAAAGAATGTCCCTTAGGATGGTATGGCCTTGCGTGTAAAAACCAGTGTGTTGGACATTGCAGAGGAAGCCATACATGTAACCACGTGACAGGATATTGTGAAGGTGGTTGTGCAGATGGATGGATGGGGAAGCTTTGTGATATAAGTAATTACAGATTTTTTTAAATGCTTGTTTTATTTTTAATCCAAGGTATGATTCTGAAAATCAGGTATTGAGTAATTAAAAATACTCACAATGATGCCTCTAGATTCTCAGAATAATATGTATTTACGTATGTATGGTGTTTCTTAAAATTTCATCTTCAAAGTTAATCATATTATTTAGGGAAAATTAGTAAATCTCAAATATTTTTTCAGAAAATGTGGATAAAACTACATACTGCATATTCTCTAAGTGAAAATTGATCAACAAATACATTTTGGGAAAAAATATAGGTATCCAGGCTTTTAAAGGAAATTGCAAGATTTTAATACTTATTAAGTACTGCAATTTCTCCAATTTACTTCCATCATTTTATAATGGATAGTGTAAATAGTGTTTCCTATCATTAAATCATTTCTAATTTCATACCATACTAATATATATTTGTAACTTAGGCTAGATTAAAAGAACTTCAGTTTCTTTAAGTATGTAACTTTTATTTATTCTTCTATGAGATACAAATTTCAACTTTTTTATTACCGTTTCTAAAAAAAAAAAACTTCAAAAAACCTTATATCACATTGAGAAGCATAAAATGAAAATTGATGCAAGAAAAGATTGTAATTTCAAGCTTTATTTCGAGACTCTTTGAATTGAATTACAAATTTAAGGACAGATGATACAAACAAACTTATGTCAAAAAATTTGAAAATAACAACTTGGGTCGTGTAAGTGAGTAAAATGAATAAGTTTCACAGCGTTGTCTTTGATTTTTTATTCAAAATTTCACAAAAATGGGATTTGAAGCGAAAAATATTTGTATAGATTAATAAGGATGGTTTCAGAAGGGCAGACTTTTTTAACATCACAGAAGGTTTACAATAGCTTTATATTCTAGAAATTTGTTATTCGCATCATTTGCAATGAAATTAGGACAAAAAAATATATACCAATCCAGGCATCAAATTTTTGTTTGCATCATCTGTCTTTAAAAGTTATCCTTTCTGGCTGAGGATCGGATGTCCTTAAATATTAACTTTGACATTTACAACGAACTTAAATCTAGAATCCATTTGAACGGTCCTATTTCTATTAATTAAAGTAAATAAATACATGTATACTCTACAAAAAATTGTAGTCTTATTAGTACAAACATTTAGTACAAAATTCAATCATAATCATAATTGCTGTTAACTAGTGTGTATATCCGGTACATATGGTCAAGGCTGCGTTCTAAACTGTAGTGGTTATTGCCTGAATAACAATCACTGCAACAGGGAATCTGGCCACTGTGATAATGGTTGTAGCCCGGGATTTTCTGGAGACTTTTGTAATAAGCGTGAGTAAAATTTCGAAATTTAGATTTTTATGTTAAATTTCTTTAATTCTTATAATTGATAAAAAACGGTGGTTACTATTTCAACAGATTGTCCTCAAGGATTCTATGGCACCGACTGTAATGAAAAATGCAGTAAAATGTGTAAAAATGACAGGTGTGTCCATACAAACGGGACTTGTATAGACGGATGCGTAGATGGGTTCCTCGGAATAAAGTGCTTCAATGGTAATCTTTGAAAAATTTACTATTCAAAATAACCATTGCCAATGGATTTTTTTGGTATTTACAACAAAATGGGGAGATACAAAGTTTTGTGTTTTGTTCTGTCTGTTTGCTTGTTTGTTTGTCTGTAAACTTTAACATTCGCCATGACTTTTGAACCATGAAAAATAGAGACAGATATATGTACTTGGTATGCATACTCCACGAATCAATTTCTTTTAAACGACACCAAGGTCAATGACCTTATGATATTGACTGGGACCTAAGTATATGCTAAAATAGCTTTTTCATAACTTTGAAGCCATAGGAGATAAAGACTGCATATTTCGTATGTAAACTCTATTAATAAAGGTTTTTCAAATGACTCTAAGGTTGATTACTGTGACTTTGACCTTAATGCTAAAAATAGCCTTTTTGAATCTTTGCTATAACGTTTGAACCATAAGAAATAGAGACCTTATATTTAATATAATTACTCCACTAAATTAAGTTCTTTCAAGTGACATCAAGGTCAATGACCTTGTGACCTTGTTTGTGACCTATATGCTAAAAATACCTTTTTTGAACTTTGTTACCGCCAGGCGCAAGTTGTTTCACAAATACATCTTGTTTTATTATTAAATTACACAGCTTTTTACTTCCCTCACAAAAAATACTAATTTTGACAAAGGTTTAACAAAAGTAAATACTTTGCTACTTTCATTTACGTTTAAACTTTACACCAGATTTTTTTTGAAGACTTAGAGCCTAAAATATTTATAAAATTATATATTAATAGTAATTTTATGGGGGAAAAATGCAAATACACTACTCATTAAGGCCCTTTCACAATTGGCGCACGAGCAGAAGCGACAAAATATTCATGCGACCGAAAGATTTTGTTAAGGATCGTAAACTGTTGCCAAAATAATCGCATATGAAAAAAGTGTTCGTACGAAATTCGCACGATCTAAAGCGACTGTTGTGCATTAAATCTTGCGATTTATCTTGCGTCTATGTGCGACTGTTGTAGAATGAAAGCGAGTGTTGTAAGATAATGCGATAGGATTGCACGACTGATCAGGTAATCGGACGATTGAACTGCGACAATACGATTGGACGTGCGGTGCTCGTGCGCTCATGCATTCCACAGTACGAATATTCGTGCGAGTCAGAGGGCCGGGTATATATACCACCCGTTTCCGACGCTCTTCAGTTGACATAGTTAAGATGCTTATAATGATACACGATATATATACCTGTTGCAAAGCATGGCAATTGAAGGTGAAGCAATGATAGTAAAACGTTGCAAGATTACATGAGACATGTTGAACAACAGTCTCATGGTCGCAAAACACACGTAAAGACAGCTACGATTCATCTTACGATCTTTAAAAATCGTGCATCACTCTTACGAGTACATAAACGTTGTAAGACGTTCGTACTAATTTTCGTGCGTTTAATTGCGATAATTTTGATCGCATTTGGTGGCATCTGAATAGTGTGCATGTTGACTATTTTGAGAAGACTTGATGCGACCACTAAAACACATGCAATGAATGCGAGATTTCGTGCAACGTTTGCGAGACCTCGTGCGAAGCTAAAATATTCCGATCGCAAAGTGTTGTAAAGTGCTCGTGCGCCAATTGTGAAAGGGAGCTTTAAATAGCTCCTTTTAAAATAAGACAATAATTTGTAAGAATTCAAAACAAAAATACAATATATCTATCTGTTATTCATAGTATAATTACTTTCATTCACTATGGAGAAATTATTATTTACTGTAGTTAACTTAAGTTAACTATAATAAACTAGTAGATATTTAACTATAATTATACACCCGCTTGAAAAGCGGGAGGGTATATAGTAATCGGTATGTCCGTCCGTCCGTCCGTCCGTCTGTCTTTTACGCTTTAGGGTACCCATCTCTTATCCGCAACTCCTCTCATACCACTCAATGAAATTTGATGAAATTTTCACAGAATCTTTATTACATATTGCCATTGTGCACCTCTTATTTTACTTTTTGATCCGCAGCATATTTCTGGTCTCCCACAGCAAACATGGACACTGCAATTATACTTATATTGGAGGTGGGGGTATCATTTAGTAAGCTGATTGCTCACAGTACCTCTAGTTAACTTCCATACCCTTCGTGTTGGTTTACCAACTGAACAATCAGTAGATTGCTTTGAAATTCATTTTTGGCAACAAGGTTCATCACATACAAAATGAATTAAGATTCTTTTATTTTTGAAATATGACCCTCAAGCAAATTCGTGTAATAAATATAAATATTTATCCAGTACATACTTGTTAGACGTTTATTGATTCGACTTTAATTACTTACAGCAATTCCAATATTTAAAGTGAGCATTTCGTAAGATAAGCCGTTAGATAAGCCTCATAATTAATAAAAAAAAAATCTAAAAAATTTTGTATTCCAAGCAAAATGTATTAAAAAAAAAATAAACGTATTGTTTATGACTTGTTGTTCACTTAGTAGACCGACATGCATTGCGACTTATTCAACTAATCGTAGAATGGGTTTGACGTCAAAATCCTCACGTGACGGAAATGCTTTCAATAACTTACTTGATCTGATTCAAGGTTTGGTACCATTTTCAGCATGCAAAGAGGGATATTTTGGAACAAATTGCTCAAGTGTTTGCCCTCCGAATTGTAAATACACCTGTTATCACATCGATGGGTCTTGTGGTTTTGGTACATGTAAGTAAACTTTTTTTCTTTTTCGCAAAACATATTAACGAACAAGTTTTCTTTACTCCCTTAATTTAGATTTATTATCATGCAGGATACCTTTCAACAGTGTAATCATTCTCAAAATGATGAAGGACAAATACTTTTTCTCTTCTATTTCACTATAAAAACCTTGACCTGCAAAAAAGTATGTATAACTAACGCAACTAAAGTCAAAAACAGTATTTGAGTAAGATGCAGGGGGCTTGTAACGCCAGCTTAACACATATCATATATTTTCATACAAGTCTATGGTAATTTATTTTTTTTCAATATTTTCGATGAAGTATTGTTTATTCACCCTGCCTCCTTTTTCATTATGAAAATAAACGAATTGACAATACATTTAAACATATAATAGTTATAATTTGAAAAACAAAGAAAACGATTTTGAAAAAAAAAATTCTATCAGTGACAGTACTGTCAAACTTTATCAGAACGCAAATATGATGAAATTCACTATTCTCTCTTACTTAGATGAGAAAGAGACCACAGCTTCTCTGGCAGTAGTAATTCCAGTTGTCGGTACTGTCATATGCATAGTCATTATTGCAGTATTCATAGGATGTTTAAGGTAATTTAAAAGAAAAACAAAATATGTACATATTAAGGACATACCTAACGTACCTTACCTACTGATATTTTTAACTTTGTTCCAAAACTAAGATTAAAGAGTCGTCAGATGTTCATAGAAAAAATCAACATGCATTACCAGGGTTTTTTGAAACTGTCAATTCATGAAAACTCATGAATGATTAAAAATATGTACATGTACTTAATATAATTCTAATTGTTTCCATTATCAAAACTTGTTTGAGAAGAAGTGTACAACACTATAGACATTAAGATAAAGCACACAGTTTCTTCAAGATTTGGAACTCTTCAACTTCATGGAAGAAGAAGAAAAATCATTTTGCATTGGTGTACAAAGAGTCCTTATGCCATAGATTACAAAAGGCTCATATCAAAGAACGTCATGGTATTTAAAAATGCGGGTACCACATGATGCTAATTCTATTTTATTTACAAAGAGTTATTATAATTCCTTATCCATTTACCATCGATACAAACAATTCTTTTTTTATTTAACATATTTATTTCTACTGGATTCGATGCAATTGAAAACAATCCATCGCCGGGAAGTCAGATGGGTTTGGTTTTAACATATTTTGTCGTGACACATTGATGATAGGAAGGTCATTCCGAAAAGTTACAAAGTCCCGTCATTATGTCAATTTATTGTCATAGAATTTACATGATTATTTTTTGACAAAATTTGTAGTGTTAGAATTTACTGTAATGCTTATAAATATGTTTTAGATTCATTTATTGATAAATATAAACTGAAAAAAAGTCTCGATATGCAAATAAAAAAATATGTATTTATTGAGATACATGTACATTTTTCTAGTGAGAAAAAAAAGTCAAAACATTGTTTTTGCATTGAAACAGCATCATGTACATGTGTATTACATGTATATTCAAGGACAAAAAAATGATAAAAATAGTCATTCTAATCATAAGCACGATCAGGTAGAGCAATCATAATGTTTCGCTTGTAAAGATCATCATTAACTTGTCGTATTTTCGTAATACATTAATATATTATTCTGTTCGCAGGCATTACGGTCTCAAAAACTGTCAGAAGAAAGTAAAGGATCCACTATCAAACAAAAACAAACAAACAAATGAAGGACATACTGATACAGAGAAAACATTTTACGAGGAATTACATGGTTTTGAAAATAAAAACCAATATCAAGAACTAACCATGAGATCTCAAACTTGCACTTACGAGAACCTATTTTGAAGCCTATATAAAATTTGGGAAATTATAGAAACAAAGACATGCATGCATTTAAAGATTTTATTCCTGTATAAATATTATTTAAAGTTTGTCAAACTGGTGTATTTTGATTTTCTATACTTCGTTTTGAATAACATTATTATTTCTCTCCCTCAAGGAACTGTATTTAAAGCTTTGATACTGAATTGATTTTGGTGCATTGCTCGACGTATCTGTCGAGAATATTTTTACGTCAGTTCAGTGCAGACACCAACATTTGCTGGTGAAGGGCACTCAAGATCATAACTAGAGGAGGATTTTTGTTATCTAAGCACTTACTGCGATAACGGGGCTCGGATTTAAGGGTATCACCTGAAAGAATGGTCTCCAAGTCATGCAGTTGGATTAGAAACTGAAGACAAGAATTGACACCATAATGTAGGGGTCCGTTTCAAAAAGAAGAGTTAACGACCAAAAACTTATCTTGATTGTAAAATTATGTGAAATTAATTATCCTGTTTAAAATTGCTATTGGAATTAAATGTGCAACGTTTCTGTAAAGATTATAACCATTGTCAATATGAATGATAGCTATATGAAGAATACATTTCTTGTCTTTGTCGTAAGTTCTTTTGAAAAAAAAGGACATGGACTCTAAAGCAAACGCTATAACTGCTGTGCCACGCAGTCACGCAACACACAGGCGACAGAATTGAATAGACAAGGTGTATCTACATGTAGTTTTGGTACATTTCTTTATTGGAGCAGGTTAAAATTTCCCCTTTTACCAATAACTTTATCTACGAATCAAAATCAGGAAATACTCTCTTTGCAGGTCAATATCAAAACTTTTGAATAATCGTAAATGTTTGTCTGAGGACGTAATGTAAAACATGTTTACTGTCTCTACGACTGTACAGAATTTCGTTTGGGTCATGCGTTTTATCTGCCTAAAAGAATCTCAGCTATCGCTTGAACAATTATTTGAAAAAAATAACTTCCTTTCGGCTGAATTCTCGTGGCACTTTCAAACACAATACATTCATTGAGAATAGACATAGAATACAGCTATCAAGTTAATTATAGGTCTAATTATAGAATCAACCTTCAAAGATACTCACGGAAGAAAGTGTTCTACCCATACTCTGATACGAATTTGTTCATACAGAATATGGGGAAAAATTGGTTGAATTAGGTGCTTTTGATCCATCACTAAATTTTCAAACTTCTTTAAAAAACTTATTTGTTTTTATAAAAGATTAAAGCTGCTGTTTAACATATCTCATAAGAAAAACAAATAATCCGAATTCAAGAAGTCTATTTCTGAGTAATCAGTTGACTGTTCGTTTACGATCAACTAACCATTAGTTGATTTTTTTGCCTTTGAAATGAGGGCGCATGCAACTTTTCATGTAATTGATCACTGATGAACATATTTGAACATTAACTGATACTTCTTTTCAGCTGACCACTGTTAAAACGGCATTAGTCAATGCCCGATGCATTTGTAAAAATGTATCTGAGAATTTGAACAAAAGAATGGGGCAACTTAAATGATATACATGTATGTGCATGTTAATGCATAAAAATAAATTGAGATGGCACACTCCCACAAGCTGCTAAACCTCCTTTTACTATACAGAAAAAGTAGATTAAGTTTGAAAAATGCTTTATTACATTTTTACCAGTGAAATACTGTAATGTATTCGTTAATAAAAATAGTATGCTGTCGCAGTGTGAAAGGATATCAAAATGATATCCTGTCACAGTGTGAAAAATATCAAAAGTATGGTAAAACTCTCGATTTTCCTTCCAATAACTGAAAGTATTGTAAAAAAGCTTCCTTGACCTGATATAAGATAAAAATAAATAAATAAATCATTTTCCCAGAGAAAAAACTGTGAAAAATACCTAAAATATGTTGATATAGCCACATTTCCAATGTTTTCAGCTCACTTAGCTCAACTGCTCAACTATGACGTCAAGTAGCCTATGACCGTATTACAAAAATGCAGAGGCAAAGAAAAAATGAAAGAACCGTATCAAAAATGTAATAAACCGAAAATTCAATGTTTTGTAGTTGAATATGGAATTTATTTCACTCGTGAGACAAGATTTTTTTTATATTTTCACTCGTGCTTCGCACTCGTGGAAATATCAAAAAATTCCTGTCCCACTTGTGAAATAAATTCCATATTCAACTACAAAACATTGAATATCCTCTATATATTTATACCATTTAAACAACAACAAACACAACAAAATACTTGATACACGAATAGTTATCGAAATTCTTTTATAATTTAACAAGTAAAGAATAGTAGGTATCTTTACTAGCTACAGTATTCTATCTATATTTTATGTTTTAGAAAAAAAGTAGATAAAGGAATAGCTTAAAAGTTTATACTAACATTAATTTCACAAAGTGTACCATTCGTGAAAATAATTGTTTCAATTCAAAATTTCCACTTTTTAACAAAATACACCCTGACACAGAGCCTTTAATGCAGTTATCTCTTTTTCATATACACTGTGTACTGAAATTATGTCTGCATTTTATTTATATTACTAGCAAAGAAAACAGGTTTACAATCGAAAAATGCCTGTACATTTTTTGTACAAAATATCTATAATGTTCGTTTTTAAATACTTATTGTCAATCCTGAATTTGATTATTCTTATAATCATTGCAACAATGGGCATCCATATAATCACATTAAAAATAGCGTAGTTTCCTTGTTATTTATCCCAAGAAATGCCTGTAGTATGGATACTTATCAAAGAATAATAACGCTTCTCCTTGGAATTATTCGGATTTATGGATATGGTATGTAGAAAATTAATGTAACAGCTCAAATTATGATTTCTGCTGTTTTATACGCGAATTGACCTTCAATCAATGTAATGGTGCAATTTAAATCTCTTTCTTTCTATTGCGCACACTTGACATATTCAAAAGCAGATTTAAGTCCGTCATAATTCTTTGTTTAAAAATGCATTGCACCAACGCACAACTTATATAAATAAAGAATGCAGATTGTTAAAGAGATGTTTGAAAATATAAAGTATCTATATTTGAGGTACTTCAAATATCCTTAAAGAGGATTTCAAAAAATAAGAAAGGAAAGCATAAAAAAAAACCCCAAAAGCAAGTGAAACGAGATTGATAGAGGGTGTTTCTAATTCCTTGTTATACCCTATTACCTATGAGCTGTATAGAAGTATTGAATACCCGTGATTATTGCAAAACATTTCTGGTGTTGAATGCATCATCTCCAAAAATAACAGGAACTAACGCTTTATCAAGCAATTTTTATTGGCTTTGTTTTGGCAATTACCACGACGTTAGGTAGTTTTTCGAACAGATTTTTACATGAGGCCCTCCTTAAAAAATTGTTTGTTTGGAATTGCCGCCTGGAGGGTTTCAGACACAGGAGGGAGGGAGGGAGGGAATTTATTTTTTTTTAAATTGAAGATAAATTTTAAATTTTTGATAAGAATCTCAGAACAAAAATACCTAATTTTACATAGATCTGACCCTACATTTCAGTGTTTTGTATGGTGCGTGTGATACATGTAATGGGCAAAAAAAAATTGATTAAATAAATAAAAATCTTCCTACTTTTGGTCGATAAAATTTTTTCAGGAGGGGGGCATTTCAATGAGGCGGGAGGCAATTCCAAACAAACTATAATTTTATTTTGGCCTGAGTTGTAGATAAATAGATAAAGATTGCTCA